GAGCCGCTCCAGGTAAGCCCCTCCTGCCCCCAAAGCTGGAACCCTTCCTACACCCCAAATCTCTCATCCTCAGCCCCACCCCGGAGCCCACACTCGGGTCACATGATGTTGGGTTGCGGCATCAACAATTTTCTTCAGCTGGGTCATGAGAACAGAAGTTTGAAAACCGCTGGACTAGTGAATGATACGCGGGAGGGAAGGGCCGTGGGGTTCCCTTCACTGGGCCGCGGGCCTGCTGAAAACCAAACGGCAGCGAATGGGCTCTTCTGCTCTTTAACACCAGATGTGGGAATGAAACAGGGGGACGTGTCAAAGTTGGCTTCACTTCTGGTCCTTTTTGAAGTGAGGAGATTGGAACATTCATGCCCTGATAGGAAAGGGCCTGGGGAGGACAGCGGATGAGAAGCTGCGTATGAGTCAACAGGGCATCCTTGTAGCCAAGAAGGCGAATGGCATATTAGGGAGCATTAGGAGGAGCATGGCCAGCAGATCCAGAGAAGTGATTATTCCCCTTTATTCGGCTCTGGGGAGGCCACATCTGGAGTATTGTGTCCAGTTCTGGGCCCCCACTTACAGAAAGGATGTGGATGCATTGGAGAGGGTCCAGCGGAGGGCAACCAAAACGATGAGGAGGCTGGAGCAGGTGACCTATGAGGAGAGGCTACAGGATTTGGGCTTATTTAGTCTCCAAAAGAGAAGAGTGAGGGGGGATTTGGTAGCAGCCGTCAACGACCTGAAGGGGGTTCCAAAGAGGATGGAGAGAGGCTGTTCTCAGTAGTGACGGATGCAGAACGAGGAGCAACGGGCTCAAGTTGCAGTGGGGGAGGTCTAGGTTGGATATTAGGAAAAACTAGTTCCCTGGGCAGGTGGGAAGCACTGGGCTGGGTTCTCTAGGGAGGGGGTGGAATCTCCATCCCTAGAGGTGTTTAAGTCTCGGCTTGACAAAGCCCTGGCTGGGATGATTGAGTTGGGCTTGGTCCTGCTTTGGGCAGGGGGCTCGATTCGATGACTCCAGAGGTCTCCGCCAGCCCTAGGATTCTATATTAGATGTTAAGGCCAGAAGAGGCCGTCCTGATCCCATGACCCCTGCAGATCATCAAGTGGCGTATTTTTGGGGGTGTCCAGATGTGCAAGCCCGCAGTAAATGGGGAGCGTGTCTGTGTCATGCACGCGGTGGAACTGCGGGATGCTAGCGCACAAGGAGGCCGTCTTGGGGCAGTGACGGGTGTGACTCCTGTTTCCCTGCACTTTGCTTTTGGAGACCCATCCACCATTTCACAGAAAGGCCGAGACAGAAATTCCTTCCCGCACCTCTGTGTCTCCTCTGCAAGGAGCCCGGCCCTTGTCCTCTGACCTTGAGCACAGAGAATGTCCCTCCGGGCTTCTGCTGGGGGCTGGTGACTTCTGAAAGTGTAGAGGGGCGGGGGCTAGCCCGATACACCCCGAGCCACCTTCTTTGCTAGTTCCTACTGGCCGGGGGAGCAGGAGCCCAGAAGTGGGACCTGGGTCTGCCTATGCTGAAGCCTGCAAGGCCATGGATGGCTGGAGCCTTGTATGTCCCTCCCGTTGGCTTGTTGGTGAGCATATGTAATCCATGCCGGGGCTGGGTGCGGTTCTCTGTCCCTTGGAGGGGCACTGAGACCACTGACAGAGAGAGGATGAGTTTGCTTTCCAGCCTGAGCTCAGAACCAGCTGGCTTCTAGCTTCAGTGGCAGAGGCTCATGTCCTGAGGTCGCAGGTTTGGTTCCTCCTGTCGGCATTACACATGCCCATCAGGAGATGGAGCCCAGTGCAGCCTGAAGCTAGGATCCCCATGCAGGTCTCGTTCTCCAGGTGACGTCTGCCCCCTTGTCTCTCAGGAGTGGCAGGAAGTGACCTCTGGTTCACAGCTTCTTGTGGCAACGGGCAGGCTATGAGGGGGGCCCTGGGTTTGCCGGCTGGCCGTAGAGCCTTGTGACATTGCTGCGATTGTTTCCAATATAAACAGCAGTTTGTGCCGGCCTTCCTGTGAGGCTGAGCCTCAGGGTGGTTACTTCAGGGACTTGCTGTTCTCTTTCCCCCCTCCTGGGGCTGGGGCCAGGCAACTGGAACCTTAGAGCCTTGAAGGGAGGAAGAGAGAGGTGGTGAATGGGCTTGGGGGTGAGTCGAGCTGTGGATGTGCCCGCTGCGTGCTCCGGGTGTGTGGGTGGGGGAGCTGCCCCATGCTGTTTCAGCAGGGACCGTGAGCCTCCTCTGTCCCTGGGTGA